AGAGTGTGTATATATATGTGTATATAGAGAGTATATATATATATATATGTATGTGTGTGTATATATATATATATATATATATCCGCACACAACCCTAACCCAGTCTGAGGGTCTCTGTAACAACAACTTTATCTCTTAAAGGGTCGTTATTTATATTCCATAACCAGCTTTAATGAAACCTTTGCTTTTAGTAATGAAAGGTGCTTTAAGAATCAAATGTGTTATTATTATTATTGTTATGAATCATCCTGAGGAACAGCTGTTAGCTCTTTGTAGCACAGTCAATAACCTGAGAGGGTCCAAGGATCAACTTCCCTTTACATCGGATCAATCACTCATGAGCCACATGTTGGTGTGAGGTAAGGGTCAGCAGCTGCTACTCACATGTGCTATTATCATTATTATCATTATTAAAAAACAGCTTTTCTGCTCAGCTGGATTTGGCCACGTCTCCCATCAGAGAGGCTCCAGATGTAACTCTGAGGTCTGTGTACCCCTCAGGTGAGTTAAGGGTCTCTGAGGCAAGTTAAGGGTCTCTCAGGTGAGTTAAGGGTCTCTCAGGTGAGTTAAGGGTCTCTCAGGTGAGGGTCCAGGTACATTGAGTTGTAATATTAATGGTTATAGATCAGCTGTTGGACTCACGTTGGATTTGGCCACGTTCCCCCGCAGAGTGATGTTCTTGCTGTGCTTCTCGTTGGCCATGCGGATCCTCTGTTTGGCCACCATCTTCTTCTCTTGAGTGGTATCTCACTGGTTCTGGTGGTTCTGATGGTTCTGGTGGTTCTGGGGAGTTCTCCTGCGTCTTCTTCTGTGGTGGAGGACTGCAGACTGGGAGCCGCTTCTCTTGTCTACGTACTCAAAAAGAGTAAGTCCCGCCTCCTCAGTCCCACCGGAAAAGCTGCTTCCGTCATCAAGTTACCTGCTGTTAAGTTGAGAAGCACTTCCGGTGTGGTCCTGCAAAATATAATCGAGGAACACTGCTTCGCTTTAAAACTGGTTTCCAGGAATAGTCATTATATGATTAAGATCAAAGGACAGTACAGTAAAGTAAGTATTATCGTATATGTACTTATAAAAGTAGCTTAACACCACGTATTTAAATCTATTTAACTGATCTCCACACTGGGCACTTTTACTCTGACACCGGAAGTGACCTCTCTGCACGCGGCACTCTAACAGCTTAACGCATTTCTAAAACACGAAACATTTATAAAAACAGTTTTTTTATAATGAATGGATGACATCGGTTTAGATATCGATCAGGAACCCCGCGGTTTGTTTCATAATAAAAAAATATAAACAGTTTTCAGATACTTTGACTGACGTGTCGCGGACCGTACGCTGATGTGGCACTGGAAGCCCCGCCCACTTCCGTGACGTGGTTGCACTGACGTATTTCTGCTGACGTAGGGTTTTCTTCTTCTTCCGGTTCACGCAAACATGGTGCAACCCATCCCGCTGTTAGCAGGTGGGTAACTTTTTAATGTTTACTTTAATAAACACGTGTTGTTGTTGTTATTGTTTGTGTTGTTAGAGTAGCTGCAGACTGAGAGCTGCGCGTGGTGCTGAACAGAAACAACCTGCACCTAACTCAAAATCTGGTGTTTTTATTTAAACAGATGTATTTACCGCCTAAAGGTAAAGGTAAAGACTTGAGGTGAATCAGTGAAGACTTCGGAGTCATTCGGCTTTTAATAAATACATAAATAACCTTTCAATATATGGAATAATCCTCTGAATTCTCTCCATGCTGTTCCTCTCTGTATCAGCGTCTGTGAGGAAAACAGTGATGATTTGGAGATAAAAAGTGAAAATCCAGTCAGAATATAAATGATATTTAAGCCGAATTAAAGAACAGCTTCTGATGTTTCAGGAAAGGTCTTCAGAGTGGGTTTATTCCACAGGTTTCTCACCTTTTAAACAGAAACTGTGTTTAATTAGTAGATTTCCTTACGGAGTCTGGAGACCACCGATCATTCTCAGCAAACTCAGTTTACAATCTGATGTTTTTATTTAAACAGATGTATTTACAGCCTAAACTAAAGGTAAAGACTTCAGGTAAAGACTTCAGGTGAACCAGTGAAGTTTTTTCTGAGTTGTTCGGCTTTCATTAAACCCATAAATAACCTTTAAATCAAATAATCCTAATAATATCTCCACGCTGTTCCCTCTCTAGTGTCTCACTCATAGCTGATGATCTGACCTTAAAAAGTAAAAATCCAGTGTAAATAAATCTGTCTTATAAATTATATTTAGCCCGAATTAAAGAACAGCTCTTACTGATTTAGGAAATGTTCTCAGAGGGGTTTTATCCCACATGTTTCTCAGCTTTTGAACAGAAACTGTGTTTAAATAATAGATTTCCTGACAGAGACTGGGGACCACTGATCAGTTCCACATCTGGTGTTTTTATTTATTTTAACACATGTTTTGTTTTGTGTCTTAAATCATCTGCTGTTAACTAAATCGTTTATTATTAATAATAAATATATTTAATGTTTCAGTGCGAGGGTCAGACGGCACCTCTCTGCTGTCCGGACCCACCTGTGAGCCGCTGGCCAACTTCAACAGGTAACACACACACACACACACACACACACACACACACACACACACACACACACACACACACACACACACACACACACACACACACACACACAGACGTGTCACTGAGCAATAATAATATTCTGTGTGTGTGTGTGCGTGTGTCAGGGATGCGCGGCCCTCCAGGTATGTGACCTTCAGCCGAGATGGGTCTCTGTTCGGCTGGTGCAACGGACACAGGTCACTATTACACTCTCACAATAACTATACATATATAATCATATTAATAAATACAATCATCAATAATATGTTTTCCTGTGTGTCAGTGTGTCTGTGGTGCGGTGTGCAGACGGCTCCCTGCTCTCGACCTTTGACCTCCCCAAGACCTCCGTACTGAAGATCTCTCCTCAGAACACCGTGCTGGCTACCTGGCAGCCCTACAGCAGTGTGTAACACACACACACACACACACACACACACACACACACACACACACTAGAGACTCGACGAACGGACACAC